CGTCATACTTTCCTAATTCCAAGAAAATGCTCAGCAAATATAAATGAGAGGGAAGGCGAGGAGGTGGATAACATGCTGGGGATATCCCTCCTTTATTGCTTGCCCAGACTTGGCAGCTGCACAGAAGTATTTTGTATTCTACAAGCTCTGTCATTTCTCATCTTCCAAAGGTTCTTTGAACTTACGCACAGAGATTGTCTCAAAAGCAGATATATTTATTTCTGAGAAAGTACATGGAAGGTGTAGCTAGGGGGGTTACATAGGGAGGGGATTGGAAAAAATAATTAAAAAAGAAAATCGCCACGCCAAAATCACTCTGAAATCATGCAAAAGCTACCAACTTTCGTATTTTTTTCTAAAGAAGACAGGCAAAACTTGACACAACTTGCTAAGTTCCACTGCCTACTCCCCTGTTCCCTTTGAAGATCCAGAATTTGGAATCCCTCATCAAAAGAGAAAAGAAAAGAAAAGAAGGAATGAGCCTCTAAGGAGATTCTGAAATTTCTTAACCTGGCTGATAAACTGAATTGAAAATATAAAGAGCAGAGAGGGTGATAGGAGGGAAGGAAGAGTCTGAAATTGATTGGCAAATTTCCCAGTGAGATTATGGAAATAATGTACACCTTGTTGAAGATTATTAGTTTACTGTATAAACAATGGTATTAGTAATGGTTTAAACCGAAGAAGCTATACTTGTCCGGCACATTCTAAGCTGTAATGACTAACTCAAATCAGGTTACAGAGTGATATAACATGTGAACCCAGTCAATCTGTGTAAAAGCTATGGTTAGGGTTAGGTTTTTTTTTTCTTTTTAAATTAAATTATAGACCAAAAAGGTGGTCTATGATTAGCTCTTGAAATTATGAGAAAATTCATCCTCCCATTTTGTCCTTAGATGTTTTATTTAATGTTCACTCAAATAGAAACAAACTTCATAAAATTCATCAGCTCCTTTTTGTGAATTTTTGTAATTTTTGTAACTGTAAGTCAGTCACTCTGGATAATGTGATGGGTGGCATATAAATTAAATAAATTTTATGGATGCTCAGGTTATTCATTCACCCGGCTACTATTTACTAATCTATACTGAATAAATCCAGGTGCTCACGAAGACAAAAATAGAACTATTTTTTTCAAAAAAAAAAAAAAAGCAAACTTATAGGTGAAGCTGTCAAACATGATCTTCGTCATCAGCCCCTTTTCAACTGGCCAACCTAACTTTTAAACAATGCACAGCTAATAATTTCCAGACTTCCATTTTTTTTCCTCAGTAAGCTTTTTCCATCGGAATTTGACACTTAAAAAAAAAATATCATTTTCATCCTGCTTTTTTACCAAAGCAGCTTATAGGATTAAAACACAGAAAGACAATTAAAACATAACTGAAGCACAGTTATAATAAGAACTAAGTTAGCATCTTAAGGAGATAAAACCGAGCCCCAACTGGCAGGTTAAAAGCTATGCGCACCAGAGAATTTAACAAAATGAATCTGAATACAAAATATATAGATGAAGTAAGAGGGTGTGCTGTATATCAGAAAAATATATGGGGGCCCTACTTGATGCAAAACCTATAATTGATCTAAGAGCTTTTCTCTTCCTAGAGAAAAAAACTAGATGTCAATCAAGTGCCTCTATTCCATATTTATTTATTTATTTAAGCCACAACTGAAATGTTCATATTGTGAATTAACATATTTATATTTGCAAATAGTTTTGTTTCTCAATTTTTGTAGCTACTGTAATTCATTTACGGGACAATCAATACTTAGGCACAAACCACAGCTTAAATCCAGCAACAGTTATGTTCAGGGCTTTTTTTTGTCATAGAACACCCAGAACACAGTTCCGGCACCTTTTTTGGATGGAACCTTATACGGTAGGCAAGACAGGTTGTATAACATGTGTGAGTTCTGGCACCTTTTTTTTTTTTTTTTAACAAAAAAAGCACTGGTTATATTTGTTCTGGGCAAAATCAAAATCACCTTATTATGCAAAGCCGCTGTTTTTCTTCTTTCCCATGTACAAGATATCCATTTACAGGCAGTGTGGAAATATTTGTGTAAAGCTGCATTTCTGTGATGTAATCTGTGGAGCTTAATAGATTCGGATTCCCATAAGAGGAATGAAACACCGGCTGATCCTAAACAGGCTCACATGGATGTAAATGCATTGCAAATTTAACTGTCGATTCCCACATTTCTACTTTAACTTAAGTGTCTTAGCTTAAGTACTTGCTTCCAATACTTTACCTATCAACCTTTTACAGTTATTCCGCAGTCTGACCAAAAATGCCTTTTGATAACTACTACTTACAAGCCCTGTACAGCTCCGGTAACATTCTCACATAGAGTTAATCTACTCATAATCATGAACTCTTTTTAAACACTTCAGTACTGCCACTAATCAGCTTCCCTCTAAACTCCAATATCTCAACCTCAGCCTGTCCTTTGCATCTAAACTTTACTAATCCAATTAGCAAGTTAGTTACCCTGCCTAGGCTGTGCATGGAATTTATCTTTAAGCAATCATCGTTAAAAGGCAAATCGTGTTTTCCTCTGGGATCGAACATTATGGCTTGAAAATTAAATTATGGGAAATGCTAGCTCTTCGTGTGGAAACGAACACAGAGATGATGATGTCTCCACAACCTGGAGAGGGGGGGGGGGCTGAACCAAGCAAAACATTAGATCTTATCTATCAAACCCTTTTTACCCTGAACAGAAGTATCTAAGTGGGATCTTCTACTTCATATAAAGAACTTTTCTCCCCTCCTGTGGATTTGACCACAGAATCATAGAGTTGGAAGGAAGATTGGAGATCATCAAATCCAATCCCCCGAACATTGCAAAGCTCACTGTAGCGTCCCCAACAGAGGACTATCCAATCCCTGGTTGAAAACCTCCAGTGAAGGGGAAGAAACTGCTCCATGGGCCATCTATTTCACTTCTATGGTCAGCACTTACTATCAAGAAATTATGTGAGTTTATAAGCTTTTTCTACTAAGTTTTAGTTAACTCTGTATCTAGCTCTGGGAAGAATGGGGGAGGGTTTTGGGGAGGGTTGGGAGGGATTGGGAAAGGGATTTTTATTGTAAAATTGTAAAAAATTATAATAAAAAAAATTAAAAAAAGAAATTCTCCCTCATATCTAATCCAGTATTTCTCAATCTCAATAACTTTGTTGTTGTTAATTGCGAAGTCATGTCCGACCCATTGCGACCCCATGGACAACGTTCCTCCAGGTCTTCCTGTCCTCTACCATCTTCTGAAGTCTATTTAAGCTCATGCCTATTGCTTCAGTGACTCCATCCAGCCACCTCATTCTCTGTCGTCCCCTTCTTCTCTTGCCCTCAATCTTTCCCAGCATTAGGCCCTTCTCCAGTGAGTCCTTCCTTCTCATTAGGTGGCCAAAGTATTTGAGTTTCAACTTCAGGATCTGGCCTTCTAAAGAGCAGTCGGAGTTGATCTCTTCTAGGACTGACCGGTTTGAACAACTTGCAGTCCAAGGGACTCGCAGGAGTCTTCTCCAGCACCAGAGTTCAAAGGCCTCCATTCTTTGGCGCTCAGCCTTTCTTATGGTCCAACTTTCACATCCATACACTGCAACTGGGAAAATCATGGCCTTGACTATATGCACTTTTGTTGGTAGGGTGATGTCTCTGCTTTTTAGTATGCTGTCTAGATTTGCCATAGCTTTCCTCCCCAGAAGCAAGCGTCTTTTAATTTCTTGGCTGCAGTCCCCATCTGAGGTGATCTTGGAGCCCAGAAATAACTTTACATTGAGTGAATTTCAACTCGCAGAATTCTCCTGCCAGCGTGCCTAAAATCATGGAGGCCGTATTCTGTGTGTAATCTAACCATCTGAAAATAGAGAGGAGAAACAACTTCTCTTGACTTGGGCACTGCACTTCAGTTGTTGCAGCCTAGCCCACATGTTTTGCTCTTTTGCCATCATCTTTTGTCGGCTCACATTCAGTTTAGGATCCATCAAGACAGGCAGATTTTTCACATGCCCTGCCCCCTCATATAGGTGAGGAACAATAAGTGAAACTGTTCAGAAGAAATTCTGTGTGTCCTTCTTGGTTCTTGGGCTCTGACATTGAGTCACCATCTCTGTATTTCCAAATACAGACTATTATGTGCAACTCTGAAGATCTAATACAGGGATAGGCAACCTTGGCTCTTTTATGATTCATGGACTTCAACTCCCAGAATTCCAGAGCCAGCATGGCTGGCTCAGAAATTCTGGGAGTTGAAGTCCACGAGTCATAAAAGAGCCAAGGTTGCCTACCCCTGGTCTAGTATGATGCGCTTCCTGTCAAAAAAGAACTAAAAGTGATGTGTGAACCAAATATAAGGTAAAATGAACTCTCTCGCTCTCATGGCCACTTAAGAGATTCTTAAAATTAGTACTTCATGGCTTAATGACTCTCATCTTCACCTACTGCCTGGCTCTCCTGTCACAAGGCCCAGGTCAATCGCTCACCACACCATATCTTCAGCAAATTCAATTTCTTTCATTTTGTCTTCATTATTCCCACAGACATCCCTTTCCACCCATAAATTTCCATTGCCAACTAGTTCATTCCACTCTATAAAATATAAATATCCGGGTCCTTTGAGCTCATCATAAATTTCAAGACTCCAAGGGCAAAAGGGACGGTTGGAAAATGACAAAAAAAAAAAATCCCTAGTACTCGAAGGAAAGAAAGGGATGCAAACAACTTTTGAAAAGCACGTGCAGGAAGAACTATTAATTCTTCAAGAGCCTTTTCCATTTTCTCCTGTTGATAAGCAGTAATTTCTGCACTTGTTATCTCCGGCAGCTTTGCCTTGTTCACCAGAAACTACCAATCTATTTTCACATCGTTCCACATGTTGTTGAGTGTGTCTCTTTAAACACGGCAGCAGCTCTGGGAACCAAACCACAGAATTCTTCTAGAGCAGAAATATGCAAAGCCCAGCCATTTTGCGGAGAGAAGGAAACCAACCCCTACCTCTTGCTGAGAGCTTCTTGGTGTTGATAATCTTGGCTGCGTATTCATGTCCAGTGCAAAGTTTGACACAGCGTCGCACCACGGAAAAAGCCCCCCTGAAGAAGGACAGGGAAATAGAGAGAGGTTAATGACTGCACGGCGGGAGAATTTCATTGACATGCTCGTTGCAAAATTCCTAACCCATTCTTTTTTTAAAAGAAAAAAAGGCATGGCTTTGCACCCATTTCATTAGCATGCTGATACTTAAACTATTTTTATCCTGCTGTCTAGTTCACACTTTTTACAAATACCCCTAGTCCATGTTCACACCCTAACAGATGTGGCAGACAAGGAGAAGGTGATGGGGAAGAAAGAGAAAAAAGCAAATTCAGTCATAAGCACTTAAGCTTATGATTCAGGTCACAACCAGCTGGAATCAAAGAGATTCATGGCTTCCCAATGCACCTTTCCACATGTAAGTAGGACCCTTTGATCAGATTAGAAGAATCTCCACCAACAGAATCTCTCTCTGAATTAAATTTCATTGTATTAGTCTCACCCATCCCTGAACTGCCTCCAGAGCTGTTAAATCATTCCACAGCACTTCTAGGCTCCATAGATAAGTGGAATACAGCAGAGTTGTTCCCAATATTCATAAACGCAACCCTACAGGTGATTTAACCCAATGGCTGCCAGTGGTTATAAATCAAGGAACAAGATGGAAGATTGAGTGCTGAAGAAGTCAGTGCCCACCGAGAGAAGTCCTCAGCCTTCGCTTTCTGAGCTCTCTTGTCCAAGGTAGACTAGAAATATAATACAGGTAGTCCTTGACTTAAAAACATTTATTCAGCAACCGGCATTGAAAAAAAGTGATTTACAACTGGTGCTTGCACTTATGACTGTTGCCACATCTCCATGGTCATGTGATCAAAATTTAGGTACTTGGCAACTGGCATGTATTTAAGACAATTGCAGCAATCTGGGGGTCACGTGGTCACCATCCTCAACTTTCCCAGCCAGCTTCTGACAAGCAAAGTCAACGGGGGAAGATGGATTCGCTTAACGAACACATGGTTCATTTAACAGTGATTTGCTTAACAACTGTAGCCAAACAGGTCATAAAATCAGGTGCAACTCAGTAACTACATTGCTTGGTTATGGAAGTTGGGGTCCCAATTGTGGGCATAAGTTGAGGAGTATCTATAATGTATCTCTCCCCCCACCCCAGTCCTATTCTAACAGAATTCCCCAGTTAACATTCCTGAAAACAAAGAGAGACAGAAGGCAAACATCAGAGCTCCACTCTTCTCTCCCATGCTCTGATGGAAGACCACCACCGAGATTGTCATGCAATAGCATGTAGACTTATATACCGCTTCACAGCACTTTACCATCCTCTGTAAGCGGTTTACAGAGTCAGCCTATTGCCCCCAACAATCCAGGTCTTCAGTTTACTGACCTCAGAAGGATGGAAGGCTGAGCCAGCCTTGAACTGGTCAGGATCGAACTCCTGGCAGTGAGCAGAGTAAGCCTGTAACACTGCATTCTAACCACTGCGCCATCACAGCCATGCATTAAGATAGGAGAATTTTTAACAGCCAGACAGTACATAGAATAGAAGGACAACTGACTCATATTTATGATGGTACAAGACGCAATAAAAGTATTGTATGGCGTGAAAGATGGATGGCTGCATCCATTTCAGTCTGCCCAAGCGATGCTTTAGATGCAGAAGTCTGAGCTTTCAGCCTCTGAAACCAATGCAAGAGGCTGTATTTCCCCAAAATTCTCAGCCATAAACTATCTAAGCCAATTTTAGCAGATGAGGTAGTTAAAAAAAAACAAGGCTAAATTGTGAGTTTATAGTTTTAGTACACTGTGTGACCCATTAAAACAGGGTTAAGGTTTGTGCAAAGAAAATTAGGGAGTCATTACTTCAGGGCCTTATTCATTAGATAGATCAATAATGGGCTCAGGCATCATGTCGAATTAAGGTTTATTTTAATCATGGTTTCTTGAACGAAGGAATCTGAATTCATAAACTACAAGTAGGACAATTGCTGGATTTGTACAACAGCTTAAATTGAACAAAAAATAACACACACATTCTGATTTCATGTGCTGTGTGAACAGTCCAAAAATGTTGGGAGTAGAAAAATATTTGGTCTGAGCTCATCTTATATGCTTAACATGTTGGGCAGCTTCTGTTTTTAGATCTGAAAATTATTTATTAATATTGGATCATCAAGAAACTATCAAAGCTCAAGATTTAACATAAGCCTTCCAAGTCAAACAATTGATCTTCTAAACGCAATTGGCTTTTATCTGGAAACTCCCGATGCTAACTTTAACATTTGGCTTTTGCGTTAAAAGAATATCTTTTATTTTTCTCACAACTAAGAGGCTTTAAAAATGGGTCACATAGACATATATCTCTCAGGGGTTGTTAAACTAATTAATCCTGTTCTATTGTGGGACAGTGAGCTTTTGGAAATATCATTCTATAACCTTTTCTGATTCTCAGAGTGGTATACGTTAGCTGGTGACCTCAGATGCTCTTCTGTCAACAACTCACAACAGCTGTCTTTTCCTCATGCCACAATTCCAACCAGTAGGAAAACTGTAGGATTAGAACCATGTGGATGTCACATTTAAGACCAAAAGCATGAGGCTGTTTGTTCTTCACTGGCTGCTTCCAAAGGAGAATCTTAGACAACCTGATAATTGTTGGTCCATAAGAGAGGATCTAAGGTGGGGTTTTGATGGTAGGACATCTGGATTCTGATGGGAAGTGTACCAAGCCTACAAAGAATTTGGATGGCTTCCACCCTAGGGAGGGGGCATAGGCAGAAAGTATTACAAAATAACAAGTGAAAAGCAAAAATAAATGCTTAAGGAAATAAACCACGTCAATTAATATTTGATTCCGCCAAAGGATGCTAGTATGCAAGCACATTTTCACTGGGAATAAGGTAGCCCTGGACCACAGTTGTGAAGTGAATCACTGCCATTGTTAAGTTAGTAACGTGGTGATTAAGCGAATCCGGCTTCCCCATTGATTTTGCTTGTCAGAAGGCTGCAAAAAAGGATCACAGGACTTCGGGATGCTGCGACTGTCATAATATGAGCCAGTTGCCAAGCGTCTACATTTTGGTCATGGGGATGCTGCAATGATTGTGTGAAAAACGGTCCTAAGTCACTTTTTTCAGTGCTGTTGCAACTTCGAACGGTCACTAAATGATGTAAGTCGAGGACTACCTGTATGGTTTTATTCCGAGTGGACACATACAGCATCAAATGTGAATGTGCAGACTGTGCTAAATCAAGTGCAATCCAATAGGTGTCATGGTTCTGACAGACGAAACTCTTCAAAGAACTTCGAGGCATTGTTTACCTTAAAGAATCTTTATTCAAGTTGCATGCATCAGCACATACATAGTCGAAGCTGAAATCTGAATTCTCCTCCCCTAAACACATAGTATCAAAGCACAATTCCCTCCTCTAATTAACAGTCATAAATCACATTCTCCAATTAGTTTGAAATGCAGACCTTCCCTCCGGTTCTTCTACCCGCCATTCCTTATCATCTCTTATTTCAAACAACCTTAAAAAACACTCTACTACGATGTTGTTATGTCTAACTAATTCCCATACACATTCTTCCTCCTTCCCCCCAGTATCATCTAATTCTAACTCTAAAAGTAACACACAAGTTAAGGGGAAATTGGCTGCATCTTCATATATTGTCAAAGCAAGAACATCCGATGTTAGCAGCATTGACAATAGGGTTATATCAGCTTTTGTCCACCAAATACCCACCCAAAAGGATGGGACCGAAACACCCAGAATTTTCAAACTCTGGAAGTTTGAATTGCAAACTCTGGAAGTTGCAATTCCAGCCCACTGAGAGAGTTTGCATTGAAATGACAATGATTAAAGTGATATGTTGAGTTGGTTGGTTTGTTCATGTCAGAAACATATAAAATACAAGATTAAAATGTATACAAATGAAACAGGTTTTGCCCAGAAACTAACAATATTAATTGCTTTCAATTGTGCTGCCATGAGGTCCTCAAATGTACACTGATTGGGGCACAAAGGGTGGGTTTACATATATGTGTTGCTGTCTGCGGGTCACCACACAATCCCAAAGAGCATATATTGAGTCAAAGTATGCTTATTGCATAGCTGGCTAAGTTCACACAACGCCAGTCAAAAGTAATGATTAATCAATCACTATGTCTAGATTTAGGATATTTATTTATTTAAACATTTATTGATTAGACTTTGGGCCATATCAAAGTGCAGAGTTTCAGAAACAAGTTATTACTAAAATTTGATAAAGGCAATTTAAAATGGAATTAGATTAAAATACAATTTATAATGAAATTGGAATAAAATACAGTCTAAAACAGTGGTTCTCAACCTGTGGGTCAGGACCCTATTTGGGGTTGAACAACCATTTCACGGGGGTCGCCAAACAACACAGTCCGCCATTTTTTTCCCCTTTTCCTTAGCTGTGCTACTCCCTTTTATTCTATTGGCTTTTGAAAGCCAATAGAATAGACTCTCTTGAATAGAGTCTAATTCTATTGGCTTTCAAAAGCCAATAGGAATTGTCCAGGCTGTCTCTGCCCTGCTGAGCCCACCAAAAGTCCCATTCTGCAAACGATGCTACACCAGTTGAGTAGTCTTCGACTTACGACCGGTTGAGTAGTCCTCGACTTATGACCGGTTGGGGTCGCGGCATTAAAAAGGTTGAGAACCACTGGTCTAAAATGAAATTAGAACAGAATACAGTAACTTAAGATACAGATTAAAATATGATAAAATTATACTTCGATGTTACCCCTGCAATCTACCCCAATCAATCCTATATATGCAGCTCTCAACTGGACCATTTTGCTTAAGTATTGTGCTGTGTTAAATTTTTTTTTTTTTTCAAATTCTGGCCAGACATAAGGTAAGTTGTTTTGATATGGGGATCCCAATGGGTCATTCATTTGGTATATAGACCAAGGTACCTGTCTCTCTCCCTCTTATACAAATCTATATACCTAGATTTAGGATATGTTGCAATCCCCCTCTTTCCCCCCCTGCCCCCCCAGAAAGATTA